CTGCCTGATGTGCTTCACTTCCTGTTGTTGTAATGAGACATTCAGTGTTATTAACTTCACCTGTTTGTGGTTTTAATGTTGTGGCTGATGTTACAGCAACACCGTGACACATATTTCATGTGTTTTTGCAAACTAATCATCAAGTTTGTTTTGCTTAATAAATTACACTAATTATGGCACTAGTGACATCATGACGTCTCTGTTTACCTCCACGCTGTGTTTCAAAGGGCTACATGATAAAAAAGGGCCACAAGAGGAAGAACTGGACCGAGCGCTGGTTCGTCCTTCGACCCACCTCGCTGTCGTACTACATCGGTGAGGACATGTCGGAGAAGAAGGGAGACATAACGCTGGACCAGAGCTGCTGTGTGGAGGTGAACATTCAGGCTGTGTAGTTTTGTGTTGGTCGTACCGTTGTGTTGTGCTGACTGAACCATCTGAAGTCCTTTTTTAGTTTCTAAATGTTAACGTACATGACAGCTGATGGTGACAGAGTGTCGTAATGTTTTCTCTCTCGTGCAGTCTCTGCCAGATAAAGACGGAAGGAAATGCCTTTTTATTATCAAGTGCGTTGATAAAAGCTTTGAGATCAGCGCATCAGATAAAAAGAAGAAGCAGGAATGGATTCAAGGTACTGACTCGTCATTTCTAACTTCCTCATCATGTCGTTGAGTCTCCCACTCAGCAGTAGTCAGATTGCCGTTGATTCCTGCCTCCCTTTGTATCGTGGCAGCTGTTGAGTCGTGCATCCAGCTGCTGAGGTTGGGGCTGTTGTCTCCTCACCGTGAGGCTCGGCTGAGGCGGCGGGAGCTCCGGCAGAGGCAGCAGATGGATGAGAAGGACCTGGCTGAGAGGATGAAGCAGCTCCAGAAGGCCAACGATGTCAAACAGAAACAGCTGGAGGACATGAGGATGGTCTGTGTTTCACTAAAGCTAAGACCGTTCACACAGCTCAGCTCACGACAGAAGAGTTTCTGTTGTCACGTTGCCTCCAGTGAGCCTGAAAACATTAAACACTCTGCTGTAGAAGCTCTTTTCCTTTTAATAGGCCAGACAATCGGAAACTTGTTGTGATCCTCATCGACATTTTTGTCTTCCATTTGTGCCAATCAGCTGCTAAAATATCCCGTTTCATACGATGCATACTGTGTAAGAATTCTTTCCATTATAAAAACAGCCACAAACTACAGCCTAAAGATGATCATGATTAAATCAAGGCCTCGCTGGTGCAGCCTCAACAAGTCTAACAGGATAAACTTTATATTGGATAGATGTTTACATCGGAGCTGTATGAGAATTTAAACGTGGCAGAGAAGGGAATGATTCAGAGGGTTTCTGATTTAGGGCCCAGATACTGACATCTCTAGTGTTTTTGTAGGATATCTGACGTTAATAAGTACAAAAGACTTACACTTGGACTAACAGAACTGTAGTTTGTTGTGATCCATATAACAGGAAATGCGTTTTAATAACCAATTTTTCACAAGCAGTGGAACTGTGTTGGTTCTCTTACCGGCTTTGTTTGCTCCGGGAGATGCAAGTGAGTGACTTCAGAGGTTGGACTTTAGAAACAGTACTTGTAATTTCGGGGCTATTTTATCTATTGGCTGAACCAAAACATGTTTTCTTCTTCATGTTTGATTGGGTGGTCCAAGGACGCTCCTGTTCATATCTACCACCCTCCTAGGCTTACTTTATTTTGTCAAACCCCTCAAGAAATGTAATTTAATTATATAATATTTACTTGAGGTTTTAGTTTTCTCATAAATCAAAGGGTAATAAGTGGAAGTCAGCTTGTGCAGTTTCGTAAATTACCTCAATTTCCGTTTGTGGATTTCTGATCTTCTTTGGAAAGCACGAGCTGATCAAACAAAATGTGGTAAAATGTGTTTTATTGATGGAAGCAGTAAAACAGTCAACTCAGTTACCAGCAAGAAAAATGTGAGTCGTCCACTTCCCTTTATTTTCACATTTTCTGGTTCAGAATAAAACACGCACAGCGTAGCAGGACGCTCGCAGCGAAAAGGGAAGTAAAAGTTGCGATGCAAACGACAGTGTATATGAGTCAGGAACACCTGCAGCCAGTGAAGGGCGTAGGAACTCAGCTCTTGAAGAAGCTGCTGCAGATTGTTGATAATTTCCCACTTCTCCTTTTACTCTGCCAGATGTTTTTTTGCAAAATGTCAAAAATAGATGATGTCCATAAACTGAGTTACTGATTATGTGCAACATCACTTCTTGTTTTTTTATTACTTTTATGCAATACACCATTAGAGGGTAAAACTTCTGAAAGTGACTCTAAAAAAACAGAAAAATTCCTTCTTGATTATTTTATCAACTCCTCTAAACTAACAGCAGATTCCCTCCTTAACCAAACCCGAGCTTCCTGACTGTATCTTGTTTGTCGTCAGTGGATTTCCCGACAAATCCGACTGATGTGAAGCAGCCGAGTCGCAGCTATTTCCTCTTTTTTTTTGCATTACAGAAAATGGAAGAGGCTATGGCCAAAGCAACGCTGGAGGAGCTCAGGAGGAAGAAGAATCAGTCGGACCTGCAGGATCGCTACAGACTGGAGCTGGAGAGAGAGAAAATGGTAATCGCCGTGTTTGCCTCCCACACCTCTGCTCCTCGGTCCTGCTCATGTGGTGACACATTGCGTTGTCATAAGTACAGAGGGGAAACTAATGTGTTTGATAAACTAGGACTGTCTTTTCATTTCATTTTTCATTTTTTCCACCCGTCCCTTTCCTTTCAGGAAACCAACCAAAAAAAAAAGAAGTTAAAATTATATGTCCCATGATGTTGAGTCATCTTTGGTGTCAGATGAGCGAACATATTAATCATCCTCTTCGTTGAATGACTACACACAATAATGCCTTTGTAGGATAAGAAAAACTTTATTGTTTGCTCAAGCGCATCGTTGCTGCAACACACAAGTGGGTGTAGAGGAAGCTAAAATTAAGCTAATGTCATAATCGAGCAGTGATTTGCAGCTGATTTGACTGCTGGTTGTGAAAGAGGCTGTTGTGTAAGAAAGTGCAACGCTACGTCCGTGTGTGTCGACTCATGCAGGTGCGTCAGCAGATGGAGGAGCAGGTGGCTCAGAAGTCCAGTGAGCTGGACCAGTACCTGCAGCGCGTCCGAGAGCTGGAGGACATGTACCACCGACTGGAGGAGGCCTTGGAGGACGAGAGGCAGGCCAAGCAGGACGAGGAGGCCATGCGGAGGCTGCAGGCCAGGTCTCAGAAACACAAACACACGCTGGACAGAATAAACACATGAAGCAGTAATAACCCCTGTGTGAGATGAGGAGGACCAGATGAACAGATCTGTGGTCTTTTCAAAGGAGCTTCTCTTCTTGTCAGAGAGCTGTTGTCTCATGTCGTACTCTGTTAGATGATCTTAGTCGGTCTTCGTTCTTCACTACAGTTACACAACTATTCCGCGAGCTGAACACCTCCACTGAGAATTCGACCGGAAGCAAATGATGCAAAACTGTAAAAATGATCACAAAGACATGAGACACCTCAGACCTGCAGCGTGGACCTTTTGTCTCCTCCTTCTGGCAGAGAGAGTAATTACACCAACACATGTGCTCAATCTGAAATCCTTCCTCTGAATGCCGAGTTTCCTTTTTTGTCTGGACCAGCAGAACATTTTCCTGGATGCCACCTACTGTTTTTTTCCACAGCTTCTCTGTCTCGGTCAGTGCGGTTGATCCTCTGTAAAACCAATCGTCGCTGGTTCATGTAACATGCGTCGCGCCAGTGTAGGAATGTTGCCATAGAAACCAGATTTGGAACTATACTGTGAGGTGCAGACAGATTTACCCGATGCTGATGGACTTAATGAGGTTGTTTGACAAGGACTTGAAGGTAGAAGATGTTTATTTACATGCAAAAGTCCTTCATGCCAACTTTAAGAACAGCTACCTGGAAACTGGACTCACAAAACATAAATTTGCTTTTATTTTGCTTAAACTGACCAGAAAGAAACAAACTGTCACCAGTAAAGGAGCAACATGAACTCTCCACAGGAAGCACAACACAGTGATAAAGAACCATAAAGAACTTAATTAATAGTTACCCAGAGTGTTGTAGAAGCGACGAATGTCCAGCTTGGTTACCGCTAAAAAAACTAAACTAACAACACAAGCCTTGAACTTCTATCAGCATAATAATAATAGATATAACAGTGATTTGCTCCAGTAGCCCAAAGACGCACAGATCAGGTTTACTGGAGACTAAATTCATCTGTTGTACATGTAATCGTCTGTTTTGAACTGACAACACTTGTTCCCTGCTCTTCGTCCTAAAGAGGATTTTAATGAATAAAGAAAGTGACAAAAAACAGAATCTGAATTTGATCCTGGCTGTGTGTTGGTTGGCAGGCTGCTGGAGGAGGAGGCAGCCAAGAGGGCCGAGCTGGAGCAGATCCACCTGCAGCAGCAGAGGGCGCTGTCTCAGACCGAGGCACAGAAGCAGGAGCTGATGGCCGACCATCTGGCCAAAGAGAGAGACCTGCAGGCAGCCATGCTGCAGCTGGAGAAGCTGGAGAAGGAGAGGCATGGAGCGCTGAAACAGTACGAGGTGGGAGCTCACATGGAGCTGTACATGACAGATGCTTTAAACACTCAGGATCTAATTGAGGAAGTCATGCATTGGCATAGGTGGCTCGGTGGTTAGCACCGTTAGGTTGCTGGTTCATGTCCCAGTGAGGACACCCAGGATCTTTCTGCGTGAAGTCTCTCCGGCTTCCTCCCACAGTCCACAAACATGTTGAGGTTAATTGGTGATTGTAAATTGTCCGTAGGTGTGAATGTGAGTGTGCTTGGTTGTCTGTCTCTAAGTGTAGCCCTGTGATAGACTGGTTACCTGTCCAGGTGAACCTGCCTTCACCCTGAGTCAGCTGGGATAGACTCCAGCCCCCCATAGTGAGGATTAAGGTGTAAAGATGATGGATGGATGTTTGTTTGTTTTGGCTGAAGAGAACAGGCATGTATCTAGTAACACAAATGGAAAAATACAACTACAAGGTGACAGTATTTGTCCCGATGTGATGCTATGGGCGTCTGTGGCTCAGGTGGCAGCTTGTCCACTAATCGCTTCAACATGTGGAAGGGCAGTTCATTCCCGCCCCTCCACATGCTGAAGTGTCCTTGTCTGAACCTACCTTGCAAGCACCTTGCATGACAAGCGCTTTGAGTATCACTAAGGTAGGAAGGCGCTAGTAAGTGCAGACCGTATGATCCTGAACATCACCAGAGACCGGTCATACCAGCCTCCTCCACCTGGCGACGCTGGTGCCACGTTTACACTAAACACACACATTTTACCTCCCACACTGACAAACAAACTACGCTGAACTGGGCTGACCCAACAAAGAACAGATTCACCAGAGTCCCTCAAATCTGATCAGCTTCTTGTAAATAAACAATTAAAACAAACATTAAAAAGGTTTTTAAATGTCTCTGTCTGTCTGTTCTATGCTGACACATCTTTAGGGTTCATGTGGTCTGAATGCATCTCTGTCTTCCTCGCTCTCATGCAGGAGGTGTCGAAGAAGCTTGAACGAGCATCTAACAAGACTAAGACTTGGAAAGACAAGGTGGCGAAACACGAGGGGCTGGTGCGCCTCATCCAGCCAGGTAGGTGGAGCTGCTCGTCAGTGGATTTCACTCATTTTTCACATTTATAGTCGTGCAGCTGCAGGTGCGTCGGACTGGTTCCCAGTTTGCACATTTATTCTCACACAATCTGGGATTTTAGCAAAGCTATGAGGCTGTAATGTGATGATCAATACACTCGGCCAGCGTCAGCAATACGATCTGCTTCAGAGGGATCAAGAGTCTAAGTGCTGTTCTTCTTCATAAACAGTTTTCTGTTTGTGATTTGTTTTGTGCATCTTAAATAACATGACTCTCTTCTGTCTTTCAGGTCATAAAGGACCTCAGCAGATCACTAACTGGGGTCCGGCGGCGTTCACTGACTCTGAGTTTGAGCAGAGGAAGAAAATGTGGCAGGAGAGTAAGAACCAGGGAGCTGAGGCTCAGTGACCATTCTGGATTAGACTCTGGCTGTAATAGACACGGTGCATTCAGTAGTGTGCAGGTCGGATCATTATCATCACTTTGCATCATCATTTTCAGCTGTTCTATAAAATGAGGGACCCAGAGTTTGGATTGAAACAAAACTGCAGAAAGTAAACGTTGAACATTATGTTTGACTGATTTCAGATGCAGCCTCTAAACCTTGATGAACCGTCACGTTCCAGGTCTTTGATATCACAGATTTGCTGAGCCTCATGATCGCTGCAAACACTGCTTTACTTATATGATTAGTTTGGAATGTACAGCTCATATTTAATGCATTCAGTTTCCTCTGTCCCATTCACGAGGTACAAGTTATTTTTTAATCTTGGAAGACGTCTGGCAAAATACTTTTAAAGCTCCCATATGGTGAAACTCCATCTTTATTGTGTTCTGTATGTCTAGAAAACTTGGAGGAGTCAAACACTCGTGTTGTTCCTCTGCTTCAGTGCAACTTAAACGCAGCCTTTACATCAGTTTGCTTCCCTCCTGCTCTCTGTGCTCACATAAAATGCATTTTAATACACCCGGATTCCCAGTAAAGCTGTTCTCATTTATACAGCTCTTGTCAGCGGGACAAGTATGAACTAGTGACTGAAACGCAGCCCATCAAGACACCATGTTACCTGAGGGTCATTTTAGAGCATTTTTCAAGCTGCTGCTCCGCATCTCTAAACTGATTCATAACCGCAGCTCACCAGGAGTTACTCCAGTTCGGTAAGAGGAACCATTTGCAGTATTTTGAGCAGAAAATTTCATTCCATTCTGGGGACTTTTGAGACTTTTTGGCAGCAAAGTGGCTCAATTTGGGACCTTTAAGTCAAAGTTCACGTACTAGCGTTTTTCTGGATCTTCTCGTCTTATTCAGCAGATTTAGTTTTGCCAGGTTTGAAAGGTGGATCAGTGGTTAGCATCAGTGGTTAGCACCATTGCCTCACAGCTAGAAGGTCGCTGGTTCGTGTCCCGGTGAGGACACCCGGGATCTTCCTGCGTGGAGTCTCCATGTTGTCCCCGTGCAGCGTGGGTTCTCTCCGGGTTCTCCGGCTTCCTCCCACAGTCCAGAAACATGCTGAGGTTAATTGGTGATTGTAAATTGTCCGTAGGTGTGAATGTGAGTGTGCTTGGTTGTCTGTCTCTAAGTGTAGCCCTGTGATAGACTGGTTACCTGTCCAGGTGAACCTGCCTTCACCCTGAGTCAGCTGGGATAGACTCCAGCCCCCCACGACCCTAATGAGGATTAAGGTGTAGAGATGATGGATGGATGGACATAATGATGATAGATAATAAACCATCTGTATGACTAGTGAGCAAGTTTCATCCACTGAAGAAGTTAAAGAGAATAAGACTGAGGTGAAAAAAAATACTAGTAAGTGGACCTAAAAAACCTCATATTTTCATTTTGTTGATTTCTTTTTGTAATTTTAATCCATCCGTTCTCATGTCATGTGTTGTTTAATTTAATGCATTTTTTCATGTTTTGACACAAACTTTACTGCCCCGTAAATGAGGGAAAATGTTGTTTTCATATTTAGCAGATTATAGATGCATCTTGTGTACAGTCTTGGTTTTCTAGCTGCAGACGAGTGAATTGCACGTGTTAACCAACGTGAAACCTTTTTTTTCATGGAAGTGGATTGCTATTTTAGTTTCATAGAGTGAGAACAGCATTTTGTTTTACAAATAAAGACACCTAAATATGGCTGAAGAATCCAACCAGCTCCATCTTTTCTGTGCTCTTGGAGGGTTTCAGACTTTGCAGTCATCATGGATCTCTTGAACAGCGTCCACCAGGTGTCAGCATATGAACAAGATCCTTTGTTAGTTAGAAACCGAGCAGGAACCGGAGTCTCTGTGCTGCTGTGATTGGACCGTACGGCAGCTTCAAACAGTGAAACCTCTGAAAATCTGACCAAAAAAAGTGTGCGATATCAGCACATGAAACATATTTTGAGGCGTTTTAGGAGCCTCGGAGTGTCTCAGACTTTAAAGTGGGGATGCTGAGTGCTTCTAGCTGATGCCACTCATGAAGGACAAACCTGTGGTCCATCAGCAGCCTGGCTGGGGACTGTTTTCAGAGGCCTTGTTCTGTTAGTCAGGCAGGATCGTGAAGCACTGCAGTCGGGAGGCGCTGATCTGATGCTGACCTGCTTTAGAGGATCTACCACAGCGTTGCTTCCAGTCAGACGTGCACGTGAGCTGATATCAGACTGTTACTGGCAGATATCAGAAAGAAAACAGCGGATCTCTAAACGCTCCGGTTACCTGCCCGACAGGCCTGTAGGTGTTGCACAATATGACTTCATTGTTCCAGTAATCACAAAACAAGATGAATCACTCGACGCACGTGACATGCAGCGGTGGGGTCTCGGCTTTTTTTTTTGTCGTTGCTGCGCCTCGATGTCAAAACAAATCAGTTGGTGCAACAAAGGCAGCTCTGTTCTCCCACGTACGCCTCACCTTCAGCCATCCTCGGCCTCAAGCTTGAGTGAAAAGAGAGACGCATTACAGGAACAGTGTAACTGGGTGAAGCTGTCGGCTGTGGGTACTTGTTTTGTCTCGTAGCTGCACAATAACCGTTTTTACTTACCAACGTGAAAACGCTGAACCCACCTTAATTTGCCCGTAGAGAGAGAGAGAGAGGGGTGAGTTCATTGTGAGTTCAGTGTTGTCAGAGCAAGAAGTGAGATAAGAACCTGCATATGTTGCAGTCGGCACCATGCACGTCTCTTTATACGGGTTATTGATAAGTGGTGATTGACGTTTAACACCTCAAGATCCCCAAAAACAACCAGCGACTGATAGAGTTTATTTGTTTTCGTTGCCGTGTTTGTCAGGAACTGTGCTCTGGTGTGTAATAAACAGATTTGCTGTTCACATTTCTTCACTAAGAGGTATTTATATCCCAGAATCTGTGAAAAAATGTGGCACTTTTTTTTTTTACTGCAAAGACTATTCTCAGAATTGGGAGTTATTCATCTCCGTGGCTAAATTGCACAAGCCCCTCGGCATTCCAAGTATAAGGATAGCTCTCGCTGTCTCCCCCTCGCCCCATGTGCGAAAAATGCGCAGAACCAATTCATCTGATTCCCGTCCAATGCGTCCTCATCGAAACTGATTTGAAACTGGAAGACTTTATGGGATTGTCTGCTGGTGAAAAAATGTCTGGCAGATGTCTGTGTTCGGAGTTAGATGACTTCCCACAGTGACCTCACAGCCCGGAGCGTTTTCGCATAGTTGAACGGACCCGGGCTTTAGCTGCAGAGAGAAACCGTGGGTCACTTACCGCTGGCAAGTGAAAAACATCAGGGCCTCGGATAAATAACTCAAAGTGGGCCAAGGAAACAGATATTAGCGCAAACTTTAGAAACGCTCACTACTATTCCCTCAAGCAACAAATCAAATGTTTAATTGTGCTTTTCTATTCATGGATGAGCGGGCGGTGTCCGGATAACATCATCTGGAGCTCAGTTGATTCATGCACTTGGTAATCTCCCAACTAGACCCCCATGTGCTGCCGGCGGCTGACATCACCCTGATATCTAGGGTGGGACCCGATGATGTGTGTCGAGCCGGTGAGATCAGCGCTCGTTGGAGGTGCTGCTGCGCTGAATTCCGGAGCAGGTGCCCGCTGAGGGGCCGCGAGGTCTCCGAGGCCGAGGGGCCCCCGGCGGCGGTGAATCGGCTCTCACATGGCTGCAGAGGCACCCAGGAAGTGGAAACTGCCACATAGCCTGCGTTCAGTGCAGCTGCGGGCCTATATGGATAATAGGATTTGGAGGAGCAATAAAATAAATCAGTATCATCTGTCAAGGGGGGTATTTTTGGGGTTTGTCTAAAGGCCAATCAGCATTTACTGCAGCTGTGACTCCACAAGACGAGTTCGGGCTCCAAAAGCAACAGATACGTGCAATCTTGAATTTATAGACTGCTTTTGATTTGTCTTTTTATGTAAGAGTAGCATGCGTCCTGCCAACCAAGACTAATCCCACAGAACTCAGAAGAGACATGTGGCCAAGTTACACAAGATCACTGTCACACGGCTCTGCCTTTATAACAATAGTGTTCTTAAGGACATCAGATGCTTTCATCTGTAATTTGTCTTAAACTTCACAAATAATACCATTTGCAGAGTCAGTAATGTACCCTCACTCACGTCATCGTTATGTAACCGCAAAATGCCTTTCATCTCCAAAAACAACTCATTTGCTTGAACGGGTCAGATTTGTGTGAAATCGATCGCTAAATAAAATGGCTGCTGAGCAAAATCGCCATTTTTATCTGGTTGAAATGATTCCTGTCATGCCATTCCACGCAATCCTTATGGAGAGCTTCCGCTGCGTCGCTCTGTTCGCGGGCAAACGTCCTAATCTCCGTACCCAGAGCAAAAGGCTAAATATGGAGGGAAGCGCCAGAGGCTCTGCCCAGATGTTAGACTGCAGCAGTTCTGCACCTGCTGCCAGAACAAGCCAGCTGGGAGAGCGAAGCACAAACACCCACCGCATACCACCGAGCCCGTGTGCTCCTCCTCTGACCTCAGCTTCCTCTCAGAGGCGAACTTTCGAAGGACTGCAGGAGTCCTGATCAGCACCGCCAACCAGGCGCCACAGAGCCTGAGCTGGGGCTCCTGCCCAGTCCCATATTCATTGCTGGCAAGTGAGACATCCATCATCATCCTCTCCAAGCCCCGTTGTTGGCTCCGAGCAAAAAAACATGGGCTGCAGCGGTGTCTGGTTACCTTTCATTGAGAGAAAACCCTTATTAAAGACGAGGTGTTTGTTAGAGGCCAGGAAAACATGGCAGTCACTAAAGGTTCGAGTTTTCTTCCTGTATCCTGTGACCCACAACAAGACGGAGAGGCTGCAGCCACGTTAGCAGCTGACAGGCTTCGCTTTGTGCTACGTGCTAATGTCGGCATGCAACACTCACTGTTAACAACCTTTAACATGTTCATCATAATAGTTTAATATTCCTTTTTTTAAACAGTATTCATCAGCAGCACAAACCAAACTTTGAGTCATTTTTTGACACTAGAAAGATGAAAGAGGATTCAACAGTAATATGAATCAAGCCGAACATCTTCACCTCATCTTATTTATCTTTTAGTCTTCTGTTAGAACCGGTGCAACAAAATCCAAATTCAGTGTGTCTGACATGGAGGTTGAAGTTTTTATTAAGCTTGTATCTGACAGACATGGAGGAAGAAAACAGGCAACCTTGAAATGAACAAACAGTAAGTAAGAGATGCTCTAAGTGACGTCTGTCTGGCTGTCTCTATTTCAGGATACTCTCAGGGTTTACATGTGGAGGATGCTGCAGGATTCCTTCATTTTTGCAGCTTTGCCAGTTTTGCAACTACAGGATAAATTAAAGCCGCAAGCGGCGATGGACGGGTCCTCG